GAGCTGGTGCTGCATGTGCAAAACAAAATTAGTCATATAATGCAGAAGCAGATTTCAGCTGCTTTGTTGTTCACTATTTCCCACTTAGATTTAGGACCAGGTTAGGTTTCAAACATATCAAAACTTCAATAATTGTTTTCTTCAGATTTTTATCACCAATTGGAAGGAATCTTCAGATTTTTATTCCTCTACAGTTCCCATCATATCTAGTTAAAGCCTCTAAGACATTGTCCTCCCCATGTAGATGTAGATTGAATGGACAGATGAATGTCAAAATCAGGGATTCTCCTAATTTCTGCTCTTCTGCCAGATGATTAACGGTGACCTGGGATGCAGGGGCTGAGCTGTGGAAAATCCCTGCCTGTTGCGTCAAAACTGAAAGCACCTGGAGATTTTTGTGTCTACACCCAAAGCTTCCTGAAAATGTTTTGCACTAGAAGAGAGAAAAGGCAACCAAAGCCAATGGGGAAAGCAAAGAGGGAGAGGTGACGATGATTCAATGGAAAGAGGAGGCACAAACTTCCTGCTGTCTCTCTGTGAAGAGGCTGTTACCTCATTTGTTATGCTGCCTAGCCCTCAGAAAGTCCAGCTCCAAATCATCTCTCAACTCTGGGAAATCCCACCAGATGTAAACAACTACCCGAGGGTGGCTTTGCCCCTGAAGAAGCAGCCCTGGAGGAAGCACTGTGATGGATCTCACAGCACGGGCACGTGCCTGCAGGTGTGGCTCTTTGGGAGCTTTCCTCACCAGCCTCAGCCACCATCACAGCTGGGCTCAGCTGATGGCCTCAAGGACCAGATCCCAGAGGAGCTGCAGCCTGGCTCTTCTGCTGGGCTGGGAAGCAACATCCATGGCAAGGTCTCCAGCAGCAAAAGGAGGCTGCAGGGAGCCTTCATAGGATGGCAGAGAGCAGTGTGCTCTGAGGATGATGCGAGAAGAGCCACAGTGACTCTGAGGTGCACATCTGTTCTGAAATACCCAACATCTGGCTCTGGGTGTAGCATGTGGTAGCTGCCAGGCAGGGACCTGTCTGGAAATAGGCCATGGTTAAGGATCATGATGCACATTTCAGGAGAGAGACTCTCCATGGCAAGTGTTTGCACAGGACTGCCCCAGAAGCTGTCCCCTGTGCCCTGGCTAGGTCCCTGGCAGCAGGGACACCCTGGGACAGCAGGTCCTGCTCACCCAGGATGGATACCTGGGCTGTGGGACTCTGCTTGCTCCCTGTCAGGCCCAAGGAAGTGTCTTTATGCAAACATGGACGCAACAGAAGAAAGCCTAGACCCAGCTTGGAAGTTGAACCTCACTCCTCAAATCTCACACGCCATTCCACTGGGTTCAGTAAAGGGCAGTATCTCTTAAATGAGATGGCTGCAAACTGGGGCGTACAGGGCTTCTCTACCCTGTCTGAGGGGAGATCCCATTTCAGCTCATCCAGGGTTGCAGAGGCAGGGAGTGGGTCCCCACAGCTGGGAAAAGGGATCCCCTCAGTCCCTTGCCCCATCTGAAAGGGCCTTGCCTGCTGTGCAGCTGTGCTGGAGCCGTGCAAACGGGTGGAGCTGGGCTGCACTCCTGTAGCACAGCACCTGCTGCACACAGGGCAGGAGCGTGTTTTGCACAAAAGAAGAACCCACTTCCTTTGTTCTACACTGCAAAAAGAAAAATAAAATCAGGTGGAGAGCACTGCTTTCCCTCTGTCTTATTCCCAAGGCCTTGGGCACAGTTGGCACCCTGGACACGGCTGTCACGCAGAACTTTGGGCTCTTCCATCTGTTTTCGAGGCTGGTGATGCCACTTGGGCCATCTCCCTCCTCTGCACAGGGGCTGAGACCCCGCCGACCCTCCTTTATCCAGGCCCCCTTTGACACAGGGGCGGTGCTGCCCGCTCCCCTGGGCTCCCACGGGAAGTCCTCCATCCTCCATCCCCAGGCAGGTCATGCTGGGTCATCAGGACGTGATTCCCCTCTGGGATCTGCAGCTCTCTTCTCAGTGCCTGCGTGAGCAGAGCCCAGGGGAGCGGAGGGGTTCTGCAAAGGGCCCGTCTGACTGCTCGGAAAAGTCCCGGGCGTGAATTTGCATCACAAACCTCCCCATCCATCCCTGCCAAGCACTGATGATTCCGGTCCGAGGCACTGCGGGCCCCTGGGTGGAAGCCAATGGCATTTTGCTGAGCTTCATCCACATTTATTTCCTCGACGGTGTTAATTTGTGGAGATAAAACTCTCCTGTGAGAGGCTGTAATGAGGGTGGACAGGAGCTTTGCACCCCCAGTGCCACAGCGAGCCCCGGAGCGATGTGAGCAGTTTTTGTTCCAGCTGCAGCTGTTTGTCGTGCAGTGCTTTAGGGAGATAGAAGGATAATCGTGCATCCACTCGCTGATGTGGGCTCAGGATTTCTGCAGAGGTGACACTTCTCTAGCGTTAAATCCATTGGCTGTTCTCGCCATCACAATGAAACAGCTCAAGAACATTCGAGCCCCACACAAGTCTGATTAGCTTAACTCTTGACAGATGTGCAAGTAGAGAATCTCTATTTTACTAGGGAATATTTTAAATAATTTTACTCAGCAGTTACTCTGTTATTAGCAGACCTTTCCCTCTGTGTAATATAAACCCTCGAGCAACAAAAGTATCTCCATTAACAGATGCTTGTTAGCCAATTTTCACTATTGCTCTTGCTAGGTAACTTCAACTTCTAGTAAATTCATGACAATAATGTGTAATTTCTATACAGATGACTCACAGTACACGAGTACACAGATTAGTACTGAGTTTAATGTCACTGTTTTAAAACATTTGAAATGTTACGCAATTAAATAATTAGTTGAACTTTACTGACCCAGAGGGAAATATGTGCATTTAGTTTAACTGTAATCCTAACCTTTGTATTTCTTGGCTTCAGTTTTTCAATAGCATCCAGAGCACCCCATGATGGGAATTTCCTGGTTTATTAGGAATTTTTTTGAGGGATAAAACCAGACATCGGCAAGATCATCACCACCACCACAAAAAAAATCTCCAAACCCTAGAACCACTGAAAAAAGCATAAACATTCCTCTTGGGATTTGAAAACCCTAGTGGTCTCCAGTAAATAAAGGCACCATGGGGAACACCAAATTCTGCTGGTCACAGGGCAGGCTGCCCTTCTGCAAACATTTTGGGAAATTCTGGGAAGAAAAGTACTCTCTCCATGCTGTAAGACACACACATACAAGGCTGAGGGATAAATCACAGCCCTCCACTGTCCAGCACTCTGTGAGAGAGCACTCTGTGAGCACTCTGGAGCCTGCCATGAGAGTTCCAGCTGGGACAAGGGGCGTTGCCCCACTTTCACCAGATAATAGATCATCTTAACAACAAAAATATTGAACCGCTTTGGGCAAATCGTTTCATTCATCTCAGTCTCTGCCCTAAGGAGCCGTGACTGGTGAAGTCTCCACGTGTGTGTGAAGGGCAAATCCGGGTTTCACCACAGGCACAGCATGGCTTGCACTGGCCACAGGCACAATAAGCTGTCCTGAAGATTTGCCACAACTTTATTATAAAAGCTGCCGTGGTCCGACCGTGCTGCCGTGGCCGTGAGCGTGTGCCCGGGGTGAGCACTCCGGACCGCACGTGAACCAGAGCTGCAGCTGTTTCCATCCTTCGGTTGCATTTTGCATCCTTGTAGAAGTTTTGAGAGTAAAACTCAAAGTCAGCTCAGATGTCAGGAGCGATTGCCGCGCAGGTACAGTCATTTATCTTCCCCAGAACAGCCACTACTGAGAATATCCCCGGCGGCGGCAGCGTGCCTCTCACATACCGAAACGAAAAAAAAAAAAAGCCCCACCCAGAAAGAACACAGTTTTACTAACCCTAAGAAAAAAAAAAAATCCAACAAAAAACCAACCAAAAAAAAAAAAAAGCCCCAGACCTCACGGTGCTTTTATAATGTGAGCGAATCTCGGGAGGCGCTCAGACGGCCGGGGAGCCCGAGTGCCGGACGCGGGCAGGAGGCTCCGCGACCCCCAAAAGTCGGGCCAGAGGAGGAGGAGGAAGAGGAGGAAGAGAAGCAGGCGGCGGCACCGCCGCTCTCAGGTTGGAGCCCCTGACCTCCCTTTCGTGCGTGTGGCTTTGAGCATCCCAGCCCCTCGGGGTCCGAGCCGCCGGGGCAGAGGCAGCGCCGCGCCCGTCCCGTCCCGTCCCGTCCCGTCCCGTCCCGTCCCGTCCCGTCCCGTCCCGGTGCTGGGAGCGGATCCCGGCGGGCGGGGGCTCGTCTCGGGAGCTGCCTTAGCCCCGCAGCCGAGGGGACAGCGCTGTGGCCAGGCATGAGCGCGGACCCCGCGCCCAAAGCGGGGCGATGGAGGGAGGGCGTGGGGGGCAGCGGGAATTCGGTGCCGGGGTGTTCGCAGCTCCCTGATCACATGAGCATGGGGCACGGGATTTTTGGGGAAGTTTGGGGTTTTTTTGTGGAAGGCTAGGTTTTTCCCTCTCTTTCAGTTTCTTGCGTTTCGTTCCTGCTTTGGTCCCGCACGAGAGTTGGGAAGTTGCTCCTCAGCACTCCTGCCCGCCGGTCCCCCAGCCCTCCCGGTCCCCAGTCCCTCCAGTTTTTGGGCATTTTCTCAATGAAGCTCCCCGTTCCCCTCGCAGTAATGAGTAAATTACATCATTGCCACCGCGTTAGCTTGGGACCTTCCTTGTGTGACAGGCAATTCCCCCTCCCAGCACCTCCAGTCCTTTCTCACATGGACTGGACTTGCGAAAAAACAAAATTAAGAGGAGTTCGTGCTAAGAAAAGCAGAACAAGTCATAGCCACTGTTGAGATGCTCTCACTAAAAACACAAGAGAGGCATTTTTCCAAATGACTCGAGCTGTGTGCTGCTGTGGGGGATGGCTGAAACAGGGGACAGGGCTTTTGCTTTGTGATGAGGGCCAGCTCTAAGGGCGACACTCCTGTTATCAATAAGCTGCAAGTTTCATGTCTGTTCTTATTCCAAGGGAGAGAGCAAGAGCTTGTGAGGCACTGTGGAAATGGCTCTTGTGGAGGATGTGCTCCTGCCCACCAACCTCACCTCCAACAATCAGAGCAGCTGCAACGTGCACAACCACCACTTCTCAACCAAAGTCATCTTCTCCCTTTTCTACATCATCCTGCTGGTGTTTGGTGCCTGTGGGAACGTCCTGGCCCTCTGTATCACCTTCCAGCGCAGGAAGAAAAAGCTCAACTCCACCGACCTCTACCTGGTGAACCTGGCTCTCTCTGATGCCCTCTTTACCCTGGCACTGCCAGGCAGGATCGCCTACTACATCCTGGAGTCTGACTGGCCCTTTGGGGACTGGTTCTGCCGGATCACAGCTTTCATTTTCTACATGAACACCTACGTGAGCATCTACTTCATGACCGGTGTGAGCGTGGACCGCTACGTTGCTGTGGTGCGCACCAGGCACCCCGGCAGGATTCGGAAGATGAGCTGTGCCAGGGGCATCTGTGTCCTCATCTGGTCCTTGGTGTTCCTGCAGACGGCTCCGCTGCTCCTGCGGCCCATGACGCGGAGGATGGGAGACAAGCTGACATGCATGGAGTACTTCAACTTCGAGGAGATTCCCAATCTGCCCTACCTGCTCCTGGTGGCCTGCATGCTTGGCTTCTTCCTGCCTGTGGGCATCATCTTGGTGTGCTACGTGAGGATCAACCTCAAGCTCTGCCAGACAGCCAAGGAGAACCCGCTGACAGTGAGGAATGGGCACCACCACCGGGCCTTCACTGTCATCCTGCTGGTGCTGCTGGCTGTCCTGCTCTGCTTCAGTCCCTACCACCTCAACATTGTCCAGTTCATGGTCAGGAAGATCCTCTACCAGCCATCCTGCCATGAGCAGCAAGCCTTCAAGATGTCCCTGCAAGTCACTGTGGCGTTCATGAACCTCAACTGCTGCATCGACCCCATCATCTACTTCTTTGCCTTCCGGGGCTACAAGCGGAGGCTGCTCCGCATCTTCAGGAACAGCGGCTCCCTGGCCACCTCCTCCACTGCCAAGACCCCCTCAGAGAGCAACAGCAACAGCCACAGCCACAGCCAGCCGCCTGGCTCCGTCTCCATCTAGCAGCACAAGCCCCTCCCTTTTGCCCTGGCCAGTGACTTATGGACCATCCCCGATGGCAGGAGGCAGAGTTGAGCTGCAGGACCAGTGCCTTCAACAGGCTCCATCACTTCCCTGCCTGGAGCTAGGGGCTCTCACAAAGCCAACCCTGGCTCTTCATGCCTGGCTCTGTGCTCAGCGCTGCTGCACCTGCCAGCCTGGAGCACAGAGATGCAGATTTTCATCCCAGCCCCAGAGGAGGCAGCTCGTGCAGCTGCTCTGGCTGGCACACCCAGCTGGAGGTTTCCCAGCACTGCACTGCACCTCTCTCCCATGCCTGTCCACATCCCCTGTGGGGCTGGGGCGTGCTGGTAACTACCATGGATGTCCCTCTGCCCCATTCCCCTGCACTACTACAGCAGCATCCCTGCAGGCCTCAGGGCAGACAGCATGGAATAGACGGATTCAGGGAATTGCAGGGAAAGGCTGGGATGTTATTTGCATGCAGAAAATGGCCTACAGCTCCTTCTCCACACCGACAAACAGCAGCTCTGAGCTCTGCTTTCTGCCTGCCCAGCATCCGCTCCTGCACCTGGGCTCTGCATGGGGTGTAGGGTGTGTGCAAGATGCTGGGAAAGCCCTCACCCAAGGAAGAGGTGTGAGGATGTGAATTTGTAGAGCTCCTGGATGTGCTGCTGCCTCCATTCACCATTCGGGTGACTACTTCTTCCCCAGGGTGCCCTTCCTCACACCTGATGGCATGCAGTCACCCTGCGATCCACTGCTAAGAAGGGGATCGTGGGGATGGCCTGGATCCAAGCCCAGCTCTAAGGCTGCAAACCTTCCCATTAGTCCTTAATTTGAAGGGAGTAGAGAAAGAGGGACAGGAGCTGAGGGTGGCCTTATGTGACCTTGACCGACCTTGAAGCTGGTGCCCTGAGGAGTCCAAGAGCCTTGCTAAGGGAGGTTGCTTGTGACTATTGTCAGAGCAAGAGGAGGAGCCCTTGGACATCAGGTTCCTGCTGAGGTTTGTGCCTCTCAGAGGAGGAGAAAGTTGGCAGGAGACTCCTCAGCTCTTTGCTGAAATCACTAGACTATGATAAAAAACCCACGCACAGGATTTCACAGTTCCTGGCATGTCTAGCATTTTGTTTGAAGTTGGAAGGGACAGACACGCACAGAGACACAAAAAGGAAAAAAAAAGCTGCTCATTTTACTGAAAAGTATACCTGAAAAAGCTTCATGAACAGACACGTAATTAATACATATAATTATTTAAGGTAATAACCTTTTTTTTATGCCTAGAAAGTTAATGATAGTCACGTGCAGCCCTTCATTTTTTCAAATGCACATGAACGAGCTTTTGGACAGCAATTTTACTTCTGGTACGGGTCTGAAGGCTGAAGGCATGCTGAAGGCTTACTAAGACAGATGCCTAAAATAACTCAGGTGGGAAACAGACTCCAGTAGGTCCTTAGTGGAGGCTGAGCCCTCCTCAAAGCAGGTTTAACCTCAGGGCTGACCTGCAGAGAGCCTTTGTCCAGAAGAGCATATTACAATGGACAAGAAAGAGCTGGGATGCAATAATATGAGATTATCAGTGGTCTGGACACCCTTGAAGGAATCTGGTAGTTGCTGTACAGTTACGTTGCCCTATTAATATGTCTGGGAAGTGATGGCTGGAAGGGAATCTCTGCATCACCTCATCCAACAGCTCACCCAAAGCAGGACTGTGGCTGGCACAATGGCTTCATGCAGACAGGCTTGCTAACTCCAGGCAAGGAGGGTCCCCTTGCTTAGGTGACAGTTCCCACTCTGCATTGCTCTCTGGATAAAAATATTTTTCCCACTGTCGTGTCTGAACCTCCCCATCCACAGTTGGTGGCTGTTGCCCCTAGCATCACCTACTCATGCTATGAAGAACTTGGCTCTGCTGTCTTTGTAACTCAAATTCCACAGGACTGTGTTCGGGGCTGCCAGTGGTTCGTAGCTGATGGTTTCCATACCAGTGTGCAGCAGTGGCCAACCCTCCTGCTCAAGGTCAAGACATTGAGATGTTCTGCCAAGTGGCAGCGCACAGCTAAGAAAAAGCCAATCCATGACCCAGCCTTCTCGGGAAAAGGTGGAGTATAAACATAACCTTGTTTGCTCCTTATTGGACTCTGTTTTTATCAGAAGTACTTTACTAAGAAAGGTACCTCCACCTCTTGCCACCAGTAGGAGCCTTTGGGGTAGGAAATAGTCGAAGAGTTGGGTGTAGTGCTGCAAAATGCAAGAGGGATCTGGCCTTTCTCCTCTGAATGGACCCCAGCCTGGGCTACTTTGCTTTTCAAAGTACTAATCTGGGAACAGAAGGCAATTAGCTGGAGCTGAGGAACATCCATGACATGGAGAAGGAAGGGACTTGGGCAGAGTGGGTCAAGAGGAATCTGGGCAAAGGAGAACTCTAAAGAACCCTGACCAGGTTGCCCACCTGTGGGTGCTCCCTGACTGCTTTAAAAAGGAGCATTTCCCTAAAACTGAAGAGAAACCATACACTATCTAGAGGCACAGTAACACTTTTCCACACTTCACTGTTCACCTGTTCAGTCCAAGCTCCTCGCATGATTCTTGCTGTACCGTGCTGGCCCAGCAGCTACCGCCTGTTGCCACGCTTTGACGTACCAGTGATCCCTTGGAATCACAGAAGCACAGAAGCATTTAGGCTGGAAAAGACCTCTGAGATCATTGAGATCAGCCCTTAAGCCGGCACTGCCGAGGCCACCGCTAAACCATATCCACAAGTGCAGCACCTGCATGTCCTTTAAACACCTCTCCACCGGCTCCGCTCTGCCTTTGCTCCTGCCCTGCCCTGCCCTGGGGACTGCCCCGAGGCGCAGACCCCGAACCCCGGCTGGGGGTGCCCGTGGCGGGGGAGCCCCTGGGGCGCCGCGCCCGCCCCGACGGTGCCTGGGGGCGACAGGGACAGCGCCGGCTCCCGCCGAAAGAGGGAGGCGGAACCTTTGCTCGGTGCTAAAAGAACGCCCACGAACGCAAGGGGACGATGGCAGACGGGGCTGGTGCTTCCCCCACGCGTCCGCTGCCACGTAGGAATGTGGTGCCTTCGGTGATTGTGGAGTGTATGAGAAGCGCACGACAGCGCACTGGCACCGAGGGCGTTCCGTGCAGAGCTGGAACTGCACGGTATGAAGGTAATTCTTGCTTTTCGGCAGCCTATTGCTGCCGTACTGTCTTCTAATAAGAGAAGATTGCACTTTTATCTGAGGGCAGAAAATACACTTTGTGGACACACAATAGGTAATTCATGCACAGATATAGGATATGGTATATACTGTCTGCATCAGAAGAATATACTGGGCTGCATCAAATGAAGCATGACCAGCAGGTCAAGGGAGATGATTTTGTCCCTATATTCAACTTTGGTGAGATCCCACCTGGAATACTGTATCTGGGGTCCCCAGCACAGGAACAACATGGGCCTGTTGGAGCAAATCCAGAAGAGGGCTACCAAGATAATCCAGGTTGTGTAGCACCTCTCCTTTGAAGACAGGATGAGGGACTTAGGGTTGTTCAGCCTGGAGAAGGATCCAGGGACACCTTAGAGCACTGAAAAGCTAAGTACCTAAAGGCTCCAAGGCAGCTGGAGAGGGACTTTTGACAAGGGCCTGTTTTGACAAGAGCCTGTAGTAACAGGACAAACTGAAAGAGGGCAGGTTTAGGTGAGTTATTAGGACAAAGTTCTTTACTTGGGGGTGGTGAGACACTGGAACAGGTTGCCCAGAGAAGCTGTGGATGACCCATCCCTGGAAGCGTTCAAGGGCTGGGTTAGATGGAGCTTTGAGCAACCTGGTCTAGTGAAATGTGTCCCTGTCCATGGCAGGGGGCAGGACAGAGCTCAATCAGAACAGCTTTTTTTCCTTTAGCAGTGGTTCCCAACTTATATACCTCTTCAGTCTGTGCTTCAAATTGTCCTGAACTGAAACTATTGCATGTCACACATAATATTTGTAAGCCATCTTTATAAGCCAGTAAAATGTTGTAATTTAATAGCGCACATATCTACTAAAAATAAAAGCTTCTCATGGCCAAGTAAGAAGCCCTAGTGTGATTAATCAGGCCAGATGTGGGCAACTGTTTTCTCCTCAGAGGTGCACACGTACCTCTGCCCTGCTCCCCCAATTCCCCAAGCAAATGACCAAAGCAGTGAGGGGCAAGCACAAGCTCTCAATCCACTTCCCTTGCAGAGGTGGTGTGCTCTCATGGAACAGGGAATTATAAATCACCTTCCATGGGAAAAGTGGCAGGACCTGAGAGCAGCTGTGTCCTTTCTGGAGGAGGTCTCCCCACAGCTGGGATGGAGAGTGCCAGGAGAAGTCAGGCTGGCAGGACTAACCGCTTTGGAAGCCAGAACCATCTGCATTCTCACACACAAGTGGCTGCAGGGTTTGCTGCACTGCCCAACTGCTGCGAGGGCTTACACTGCTTTCCTTTGCTTTGTGCTACCCCCACATGTACCACCTCCTGCAAAACTGACCAAATAAAATGTGAGGATTCCCCTATCAGACACTCCTAAAAAGAGTACAAGATTAGCATAACCTTGCCTATTTTCATTTTCCACATGAAATCCTGCGAATCTTTTAAAACTGAACTAAGTGCAATGCAACACTCTATCCCCTTTCTCTCAGCAGGTCTTCACTTTCTGTCCTCAGTTCTACTTTGCTCCTCTTTCCTAAACTTTCTGGGTTTGCTCAGTTCCACCTGCCTCACCTCTCTCAAGTCCTTTCCTTTGCTGATCTTACGTGACACTTACAGTCCCTACTTACCCTCAGTCAAAAGCTCAGACCCCGCTTTCCTGCCATGATCCTGGAATTTTTCACCCAATTTTAAAGTATGTATATTCCTGCTTTCTCCACTGCAACCATTCAGGTTTAGAAATAGCCCCCTACAAACAGGTATGAGTCTAACTAACTTCTCCTTCTTAAAAATCTCCTTTGGAAAACAAATGATGACAGCTGAACTACCAATGCGTTGAGATTCTTAACAGTCACACCCATTTGTCCAGTTGTAACATTCCTCTGCTCCCACCACTGGTGTCTCACCTCACATTTGCACCAAACACTGCTGGAAGCACACACCCTCTCTGAGTTTCAGAGTGGACTTTCTGTGGTGAAATAATCCCTTTATATATGGAAACAAGAGGAATGTAATCCTACTAAAAATTAAACCAGTATTTTTAAAGTAAATGCACGTACATTTTACATATATATATACATGAGTGCATGTGTGCATATATATAAACACATATAGTGTTTGTGTGTTCATGTGACTCTCCTAGTAAAATAGTTCATTTATTCAAAACATGCTCATTTACATAAAATACTGATTACTGTGGCCACACAGTTAAAGAAAGCTAATCTCATGCAGGTTTTTCTTGTGGAAGAATACACAAAAATTTAATTGCACTTTTGTATCAAATCCCTCTATTAGTTCAAATGAATGCAATGCATTTATTTACTGTCAAACAGATGCAGTCCCCCTCAGAGCATGGGAGTTGTAGGTTCAGAGTGTTTCCAAAGCTTGGTGCCTTTGCAACTGCACAGATAGTCCAAATATACACGTTTGAGAGAAGGGGGGTCTTTGAATACAGGCTTTTAATTTTCTTTTAACAAACTCTTAACTCCACTTAAATTCATTGAACCAATACATAAATATTCTCACTCACTCTCTGTATATATACACATACATATCCACATATATGCATATATATCATCATATATATACACATATACATACAAACAGGAGAGCCAGAAACGTTGCCCTTTGCCCAGTACCTTGAAATAAGTTTTTCTGGCTGGTTCTTCTGTTCCAAACAAAAATAACAAGACCTTTTCTCCACTACATATTCCAAAAGGCACTGCTAAGTGCTAGACAGCACGAGCTGGTGCATGAACCAGCTGCGACAGTCCCCATGCTCGCTCAGTAGCAGGCAGCCTTTAATGTTTGTTTTGAGGGAGGAAAATGGTTTTGGTAGGTCTTGAGACCAATCAATCTCCATCCTGGCAAAAAGTTAAGGCTTGAGAACCTGAGCCTGGTAGGCTCATCAGGTAGATTTACACAAATAGCAACCTCACTGTGGGTGTATTTCAAAGTGTCACATAACTGTCTAGGAAAGTCCCCCAGTAAGTTACTCCTGTGCTTTCCCTACTAGACATTCCCAGTCTAGTAGGGAAATTTTAACATCAGCAACTACTTTTATTTCAAAATACAAAATCTTGGCTTTAGTAGAACTAGAGTGAATTTTCTGGGGACTTGAAATTCAATATGTAGAAAAGTATTCTGCCTTCTTCATGCTGCCCAAAAAATATGTGTCACACAGATTAGAAACTGTGTGATGAGACATTCAGAACTGTAGCAGACAAACCCAGCGTAGGCTGTGAAGAACATGCTTCTCACATTCCCAGAAATAGTTCATGAAAATTTCAATAAGTGGAAACTGAGTTGTTTTCTAACGTGTGAATCAATCTTCTATGGTTTTTGCATGAAACAGGAACTGTTTTCAACAGCATCTCAGATCTCTTCTTTTACTACTTTTTTTTTTTTTAAGTTGGAAATCATAACCCTGGAAGCAATTTGAACACAAACTTTTCTCACAATCAAGTGGAGTTTTGAACTGACATTACCAAGACCTGCATTTTACCCCTTAGGTTTAACCATGTTTTGCAGAATGCCCAGCAGAATGGGATTTTCCATGGAACCATGACATTTGAATACCTCCTGTACAGGCAACAGTAAGAAAGGATTTAGACTTGGAGGATATCCACTTACTTACTCCATATGCCACTCAACATGTTTTAAAATTCCAAGGAATAAATACTCTTTGTGCTTGTCCCCACAGCAGGGCAATGTCTGAAAAGGGCACATTTATTTACTCTGGGATAGGTGGACTTTTATTTCCTACGGACAAAATTTGATTCCTGAAGTAATTTACTTGTTTTTATTGCAACTTTTGGAGTATCTGTGAAGGAAGAATCAGTATGTTTCAAAATTAAAACCTGTATTTGTTTCAAAACATTTAAGTGGTCTGCATATACAAATTATGGTAGGACTTCTTTTTCTTACATGTATCCTTTGCTTTCCAAGACAGCAGGTTTCCAGAGTTCCCTGGGTACAAAAGGGTGTGTGGTCTACACACATACATAGCTTTGCCTTCACACAAACAAAACCTTTCAATTAAAAAGCAAATCCTCCCTAAATAATATGATCATAGAAACAAGCCAAACCCTGAAGGAGATTGATCAAAGCCCAAGAAAACACATTGTCATTCCAAACCCCCCCTACTTCACCCACTGCAAAATACCAAAGAAATACATACAGAACACTCAATTAAAAATTATGTCATGTGCCGAAAGCTGTACAAATTTGACGCAATTTCTAGATAAGGACTATGGCCCCCTTTCTTTTTCAGTTTTGTCAGTCAATTAAAAAAGGAAAAGAGAAGTATCTCTCTCTCTCCCTAAATCCAGTCCTGCAATTTCCTGGTACATTTTCCAGGCCAAGTGAGACTGCAAAGATCTGTGCTGTGGTACACAGTGTACATCTGGATTTCCAAAACATCCCCTATACACCTGTTATTGCCTCTGTTACACTTTTTATGACCTACACCTTATTCTAAATGTACGTATGTATTAAATATGCCTGTGTGTATATAAATAGACACATATGCACATGCTGTACACACACAAGTACATACAGAAACATACATGAAATGCATAAGATATGTGTGTAAATTGATTTCATGGAGTTGCACTTTAGAATTTTGCATTCCTTCAGGTTGCTTTTATAGAGATGTTCCCCTCTCTGCACCCCAGTTGCACTCCTGAAACTCCTAAGGTGTTAATACTGAGCACTTCAGAGAGTCAAGCCAAGCAAGCTGATTCAGGAATCAATCTAAATTTCAAACCCAGCAATGGCACAAACTCGGCACTTCTGTCCTGTTGCCTCCTGTGCCAGCCTGGATCACCCCTAATGTTAATGTTCCAACCTGTGGTCAACACTAAGATGCTTCAGAGAGTGAGGATTCAGCAAATGCAGGGCCATCCTCATCTCTGACACTAGAAAACTAGAATTACATGTAGAAAAGTTAGCTTTTTGTAATTTCCTTTTAAGACGGTATGCAGCCAGCTGAAAAAAATGAAAGCAGAACATAGGACACTGCATACATCCATTGTTACAGAAGTCATCTCTGAGTTAGCCATGGAAGTCATTCACATCATTCCAGTTCTGATCTTATTGCATCATTCAATTCACCTTTATTGCTTCCAGTGAGTATCTTCATGACCCGTATTTGAACAGCAATTCACTCAGTTTGTAAAAATTCAAATTTACAGTGGTCACTTGCCATAGCTCACCACACACACATGAATTCTCTCTCATCCTGTCTATTACGTGCTGAATGACAACTTTTATTCAAAAAGAAATCTGAGAAATAAGATATTACAGGCATTAATAAAACTTTGCAAAGATTGACATAATAGTCCCATAACCCTTTATTGAGTTGAAAATTAAGTGATCTTCAAACCTCTTATTACTGTAATAAAAAATCAAGTACTGTAAAATAACATTTAAGCCAGAGAAATTAGACTTGTAAATGAAGAAAATATGATTTTTCTTGCCAGGTAAATCTAACTGTTGTAGTTGTTGAAGCCTTTTTTTCCCCCTAATAATTAAGTCTGATAACGTCTAACAAGGATTTACAAGAAAAAACCCACCTATTTTATTTAAAAATAAATTTAGGTGATATCCAGTAACAAGTAGAAACTAAAGTTACTTTGAAAAGGATAACCGGACTAGAAACCACCAAGTGATCCGAGGGTCTGGGAACAGTTCACATCATTTCTTAACACCACTCTTAGTCACCTGTCACGTGGAGCCATTTCTCTCTTCCGAAGCTCTTGCAGGGCTGACTTTGGTGAGTCTGCCCAGCAGGTGGCTTTGCTCCTCTCCCAGGCATGTACAAACCCATCGGGTGAAGTTCCTTCACACAGAAAACCATCAGTGCTGCAGTAGAAAATTAGTGGCTACATTTAAGTCATTATTTGAAGCCCTCAGAGCTTCTAGAGCATCTCCTCTGGAAAACCCCATTTCCATAAGTCGTGCGACCTGGGAAAGAAATGAAGTAACACCACTTTAAAACCAGAGTTTTATTCACACTGTGTGCACATTAGTCAATGATGTCAGAAATCACTTTTCCATTGATCAAAGAACTATCTGGGACAGCATGCTTCAAAGCATTGCCACAGAGATGACCACTTTCCACCGCTTAGTTCAAAGCTGATTGCAGAAAATGCCACACCTGTATTTTCCTGGCTCATCCAGTTTTGAAAAAAGAGTAAAATCCAAAATCTGGTACCACACATGACAATTACAGTCTGACCTGGGGGCTTGCTGCTTTCAACAAGAACAAGATCTCAAGAAACCAACACTGACCAAATCACAGAATTATAGAGCAGATTGATGCCTTGAGAGGCTGACCTGGAACAGAGGCTAGACAATGTTAAAAGAATAAAGTAGATATTTGTTAAAATATTCAAAGGTTACACCTTGGGCAGTAGAAGAACCCAGCTGTGGCTACATCCAAAATGGATGACTGGTCATGAGTTTTCACACTTAAGTTTTGGTCCATTTACATATTGGGGTTAATTGTCCAATTACAGCTTCAGGTTATGAAGTTCCATCTTCCCAGATTTCTCTCCTCAATTCACTGTTTACACTTTTTGGGCCTGAAGCTGCAATGGTGTCCTTGGTTCTCAGGCTAAAAAAGGATTGTTTTATCTAACTGAACTGTGAAGAGAACTTGCTAACACTTTATATGAAGTTCAGAGTTATATACTAATGCAGTACAGAATCTGGAAAATATGAAAGCTAAAACTTAAGGTATCAAGATGTGAAAACCTATCCAGAATGAATCTTCAGCTCTTCTCCTTGAAAATATCTACTTCTCCAGAGGGCCTAAAAACCCCTCAAAACTATTTATTCCACGTATTGGGGTTTTTTTAATAAACCTTAAAGTTAGTCCTTAAGTAGAGGCAGTACAATACTTAAATTGGTTTAATAAAATCCTTGGAGGGCTTCTACATATATTCAAAAAAGCACTTTTTTTTTTGCCAAAAACTTCTGCAAAGCAAAAATCAATGACATCTGATGGAAGAATTACATGGAAAAAGGCACATTAAGATAGCGATTTTGTTAAATCAATAACCACTTGACCAGCCCTCTTTATAGTTTCCCATACTTGACACCTAACCTTTGTGCTCTGTGTTAACAGATATTCAAAGCACCACATGTAAAAAGGCAATACATGCATAACCAAATTTAATTTATAGTTAAATACCAATTTAAAGTACATTTAAAATCTACAGGTCTCACTTTGGTATGACTGAGTGTCACAATATAACTCATTCACTTTTATGATTAATCTTCCAGAAGTGGAAAAACAAGGTGTGGGAGGGCAGGGAATGGCATGTAAAAGTAACTGTGGCCACTGGCAGCATAAAGCATTCCTCAGCCTGCTTCAACGGGCCTTATGACAGACATGACAACTCCTGAACCTGAAAGTCGTGGGCTACAGAAGCTGCCAGAGAGCTACTGCTACTCCTCCTCTGCCTGCAGTGAGCCTGCAGCAGCAGAGTGAAGCAGGAACACAGAAGAGGCTGTACGCATCTCAAGAGGAATCTTCCCAGGGTGCAAGACCAATGTACAGCACTAGCACTGAAAGTATTTTTAAAAGAAAGTTGCCACCAAAAGCAGCTTTTCTTTCCTCTAAGACACCTCCAGAACTTTCAGTATTTTTAGTCATCTCTGCTTTGGTGACTTCCTGAGAAGTATACAACTGCCAGGTCTGCCCAGAGAAGTATACAACTGCCAGGTCTGCCCAGAGGAGTGAGTTCTCCTTTTCTTTATATAAATACACCACCACAACACATTTGAGAACAGCTACCTTGATTGTCAGAATATCAACATTACAATCCAGGGCAACATTTTTTCACATTCTTGTAGGGAAAGAAATGAATTGTTACTTTCGACCCTTCTGCAACAAGAGTTTAAATCCAAACTCGATTTTGTAAACTGTAACTCTTATTTTTCAGCTAAGATTGTGGTTTTTTATGAGAAAAAGCGCAGACAGTGGAATAAAAGCTAACCACAGAAACACACTTCAGAAGTAAAGTTTTTATTGCAGTTGCCATGAATTCTAACTTTAAGAAATGGTGGATGGAATTGCAACTTCCTATTTGCAGAAATATTCATCAAGGATCAGGGCGAATAGTAACAACAAAAACCTCTTTTCATCTGAGCGTATTTTAACTGCGGGAAATGAATTCAGCTCCAGGAAACTGAGTGTATAACTGGTAACAGAAACTAAAGGTGCTAAAACCCCACAAGAAATGCAGAGATTTTTGTACCAAAAGCATTACAAATGCTTACAAACTTTAATGTGATGAACAGATGAAATCCTTGCATTTTTGCCATTTTAAGACAGCTTGTGTTGTTATTAGTACAGTCTTCAATAAACAAAGGTGCTTTAATGACTTCTTCTTTGCAGGGTAACGAGAGAGCCTTGCAAGTGATAGCAATCAAGTGAGCCCTAGGTCCTCAGTGCATCAGAAAATGTAAGTGTATATTGCTTTCATAAGTCTGGGCCTAAACGTCTTGGGTAAGAATCCAACTAGTAACTATTTCATTAGTTTCAGCCCAAAAATAGAAGTCCCCATAAGTGGAATTTGTTATTAAAACAAATAAGTAAGCCAACACAGCAGGGAAATCTTTTGGTCCATCCCATATTGGCACTGAGTAGGCTTTCAGGACAACCAAAACTAAGTGTCTGGGTTTTGTCTCAGAAGATGCTTTTTGGTGTGGCGTTTTAATTTTCTTTTTGTTTGTTAGTTGAGGTTTTGTTGTTTTTTGGGAGGTTTTCTTGTTTGGTTGGTTTTTTTCCCTTTCTAGATGTAGCCCAGGAGGTTTACAGTCAAAAGTGCAGTTAAAAGTTTTGAACACTTTGAATAATCTAACATCCAGTCAAAGCCAGAAATCAGATAATGGAAAAGACTTCTGTTTGGGACAAGCTGTTTAAAACTAAAAATTACAGTGCTGCTACCAAGTGTTGACTTAAAAAGGAAAAAGGGAAAGAAACATACTCTTGTTCAAGGGTAGCAGAGACCTTACACTATGAAATCGCCAATACAGCTAGTTACATGTAGGCTACAACCTGGAGAACTTGACTGCATGCAATAAATCCTGAATACAGGAATAAGACTAATCTTAAGTTCTTAAATTTCTGAGTAAATAATTGTCTCTTCTAAGAATAAAACTATCAACAAAAGTCTAGACATCTAAATCTATACTTGATAGAAAGGACATAAACTTCTCTGTGACATCAGTATAAGAAATCAGTCAACCACAATATTGTGGGAAACATCCAAGTTTTAGCCCAAGTGTGTTTTGCAGTCCACAGCTGGCATAACATTCTTATTTAAAAAAAACCAAAACGACTGAATCGGAAACTTAAGCTGGGGACTTCAGTGAAGATGATGTCTACATGAAAAATAACAAAATTTATTTATCATTCTTCTTTCTTTAAAACATTTATTTTATCAGATTTGAATAGTTTCCACTACTGAAACCACCAACATTTCAATACAAAGTACAGGCAGAAACACATAAAAACAGAAACTCCAAAGTAGCTCTGTAACTCTGGTTTGTATGGTAATGACACTCTCTCTGTATTGTGACCATTACCTTATATTCTAATTTTTGCTGCTATAGAAACCATTAGAGAAACTGTGTAAACAGATGATAAAAAATTAGTAGAGATTAATTCATAACCATTTTTACTGCCATTTTAAAATATAAAGTATTTACCTGCTCTTCAGAAACCTCTGTAGGTGGAGGTATGCCTTGTTCAGACGGGCGATGATCTTGATAATTTGCATTATGTCTATGACGTAAAGGAGGAAACAGTCTATTCCAGTTAATCATTCCACCCTGAAAGCAGACACTACTGTCAGTCTTTGTGAAAAGAGCTACAAATATTTTAAACAAAAAGATCATCTGTACCACATAATATGAAAGCAGATGTTTAAGTAAAGTACTTTATTTTAAGCAACAAAAACTATTGTAGTCTCCTATGAATTGGACTGATTACTGCTTTACCAGTTAACTGAAGTAATCACAGCAAACTAAGGAAAAGTGCTAATAGAAGGAGGAAAGGATGTTTCAGATCCATTGGGATAGATCTGGTTTACTACAATGCTAGGTTTCTGGGGCTGAAAGACAGCTGTCTTTACTAACAGGGGTTCACCTGGCAAGAGGTGCAACAGCAGGTTCTGCAAGTACTTTACAAAATTGATGCTGAGGTTAATGAGGGAAAAAGGGTACGAGAAATAAGTGAGGGGGGAAAAGCAAAAGGGGCTTTTCAGTGCATCAGTAAAATCACATCAGGAAACTCAGAATAAACCAAACATTTAGGACACCTGGGACTTCCATGCAAGTGACTACTTCTGTGACACTGGTGTGACTTGCAGACCCACCACATTTACCTAACTTCCGTGTATTAAATATTGTTGCAAAACCTGGCCATGTTCCAGTGTCAAAACATCTTGTAACTACATAGCAATAATGCAAACACACAGCAGTAACATAGGTATGGTGCAAATCACAGAACTGAAACTTCCTATTAACAACCAAGCTTCAACTCTTCTAATAGTAAGACATCTGGAACATAAAGAAGAAATACTAAAATACAAGCTTTATAATTGTCCAGAAATAATTAATCATCATGTCATTAGCTTAAATGGACATTTTTGAAGGGATTTTCTATCACACAAAGCCCATAGATCCTGTGAGTGGGTAAGAGCAAACCCCAATCTCTCTTTACTTTTTTTTTTTTTGTTGAAACATCTTTTGCAGTCTGGGTTGTTCTTTCCCTCCTCCCTGATCTCCCTGTTACTATGGAGAAGATCCCCCTCCCTTTCTGTATATATAGGACATGGCCTTCCTTCCTCTAGTTGCTCTATTTTAGTTCTATAATGCCGTTTCTCAGAAGGCCTTCCTCTTACGACAGTTTCTTCTTTTCTTCTCTCAGAGTGCTCTTCCTGCCTTTATGTACCCTTAGAGCATTAAATACCCTCCGCTCAATCTGATCAGCAACAGCTAAATGTGCTCCTAGACCACAAAAAAAAAAATTCATTCCAGCATTCCTGCCCTTTCCTTTGTTTCCTTCCTTGCTATCTAGAGGAGACTCATAGACCAGCCCAGACACCACAGGGGGCAGTACAATGGCACATTTAAAAAAGAATTTTGAAGAGTCATGAGACTTGAAACATCAGCTTGAGAAATAATCTAGTCCCTTCTATACTAGAGTACATTTTTCCCTGTGAAGATATAAAATAGTCAGAAGCAATAACCTGATTTCAAGACATAGATTCTGTTGTTAGTGAATTTGAATTAAAAAAAAATATGTGTCTACATTTCCCATACTGTATAATATATTTGCCTAACATTCATCAGGTTTTGACCAAAGGATTCTGTATAAGTCTCATGTTAGTCAAACATTTTTACATTTTTAGCGTAGCAAAAAGGAGAACTGGTTTGGAGCGTAAGCCCAAGAAGAAAGAGGGATCTCAGATGTTCCACTGACACCACTGCACTACATTGTGGTCTTGGGAAATCGTGTCCTGTACTTCCCCACATATAATTTCCCATAACTCAGAATTACACTGAGTTTTAATTCATTAACTTGGAATTTCTCACAGTCTACTAAGCTCTACAGTTCAGTGAGAGCACTGCACTAATACTGCTTTACCTGTTTTTAATATTTAGAGACTACTTGAGGAGGAGAAAGTAATGCTACCACAAGTCATTCACATTGAATTGGTAAAAATACTAACAGGACTATGACACATTCCTTTATAACCTTAAGTTATACACAGTAATGTATAGCAAATATAAAATCTACAATGTATATTAATTTACCTTTATCTCAGTGTCTCTGAAGACCGAAATAAATGTACCTTTCTAGCAGTGCCCTGAGCTTCAATACTGAGCTGCCTATTCCAGTTTGGTTTTGCATCCTCCCTGTCCTGGGCTCTCTCACCTACCACTACAGACAGACTTGTTTACTTCCTTACCTTAAGCTTACAATACAGTTTGCATTAACATACATAGAATTAATTATTTTCAATAAGAACTTAATAAACTACTTAATAAACTACAGATGTCGACTGAAGCACTCAGGAGAGTTTCGCAGAAGATCCCTTCCCAGAGAAAATAGACTAAACGGGTTAGGTCAAAATAGAGTGTTTCAACTACCTTTGGAAACTGTGATAAACATTATCTATCAGTTCTTAACTATATTAAGGAGGAATATATCCAACATTTAATGGTATGTGAATATTGATGCTTCGGATGAATCCTGACATTGTGGTCCACCTCTAATCTGTGTAATACTTTTAAACTGCAGCAAAAACAGGTGGATTAGTATCCTTTATCTTAACTGCAAGAAAATTGTTTCCCTTCACAGTCTTGCTTCCAATTAGATGACACACATCCACAAGGTCAGGCTCAAAAGAGCAGGGATTCAAGGAACTGCAGCAGGAACTATGGGACTGGTAATGTGCTCAGTCTCATAAAGGTAAGGAAAAACTGGGAGTGCAGCTAATGTCTTAAATCCACAGAAGATGGAAATCAAGGCTATGGATTTACAATAAGAATGGTGACTGTGCAAAGACCTTCAGACAGCCTTAGCTATCACAGCAGAAATACATGAAGATCTGTTTAAAATTGAGCCATACCAAGCACCAAATACTGTCTTAACATTAAGTAAATATCACAAATTCCAGTTTAAAAAATGCACAGAAGGAGATTTCCAGACCAATATTCATTCTTGCCTCACAGAAATTATTTTGCAGACCTCCCCTTTATCATTTTATGATAATTTCTGTACTGCAGTGGTTTTACACTGTGCTACCAGACTTACTGTGAGAAGTCAGGAAGATTTCATATGAAGATACCCAGTCTGATTAATTTATGTAAGTGATGCTTCTAAACCATCTGAGACTTCCTCCTGGGCAATCAGCAAATCGTATTTAAGCATTTCACATTATACTTGACTCTCAGCACCAGCACCCAACAGCACAGAGGAGCTCACACCAATCTACTCACTCTCCACAGAAGCCTTGTCTCAGATAATAGAGCTCTCTGAAGTGGTCCAAAATAATAAGCAGTGGGGATACTCCAGGGTCCACTATGTAAGCTCCTTTCCTGAGCAGCACTTTCAGTGACAAGTATGTGCCAGTTTAATCCATTTAATGAAATACAGGCAGTTCTTCTGTGATTCCAGTTGGCAGCTTGTTAGAAAAAGAATTAAATTTAACACTACATGGTTTGAGGGCTGAGACTTAACATGACCCAGGACTAGATAAGGAGGATGCCTTAAACCTCTTACATCCAGAGCTAGATTCCACAACTGACGCACTTGGGGTATCTTGCACTGAGATGATCTCAGGCAATATTTTTCTTGGTCTTTATCTTTGGTGTCAGGGAGCAGCCAGCGCAAGTGTACTGCTAGAGAATGAGTGCGCTGAAAAATCCTAGACTATGATTCATAAAGATGTTGTGCACAATTTGGTGCCTGGGCCCTTTTATCTGTTCACATCTTAGTCTTCAACAAGTTGTCAGGAAAAAGATTTGACAAAAGCACTGCTTCATTAATTATCTGACTAGAAGGGTGACAAGACAAACTGAAGAAAGCCTATAAACCTTTCTCCCCTCTTTAATCCTGTGCTGTAATTTTTTAGAAAAAGTCTGAAGTCTGATGGTTTAGCAGCACAGACTGGGTGAATCAGTTGATTTTAAGTTCTTTGTTACTTCCTGATAGGAGACAAACATTCCTGCAAGGAGACAAACATACCAAGGAAGTAATTTCAGTGGTCTCTAATAAATTACTATTGGAAATGGATTATGAGAACACTGGTGATGTTGGAACTTCCGTTACAGGAAGACAACAAATTCGTCACAAGTTTAGATGATCGAAGAATGAGATTTAAGAATGGATTGGTCTAAAGAAATGGGAAAATAGCAGCTCTTCATTACAGAAAAGGCTTTAAGGAAATGCCATATTGATGATTTACTCCTGGATAGCTGCCAAACCTTAACGTACAGAAGCTGTGCCTTCTGAGGTCACATCCTTGTTGTTTTTTTTCTTTTAGTGGTGCCTGGGACAATTCTGTTTACAAGAAAGAAGTATCCTCCTTTCCTATAGAATAAGGAAGAAATATCTAGAGCTAGCAAATGTCTCTGATTGTACAGCCTGCTAACACCCTAGCTATGCCATTTCTTTTCAGATAAATCTCCTTCTCTGTTTTGAAAAACAGCTCAACATGTTTCCCACACGCATATCTGCCATGGCATATTTTGTAAAAGCACTTATCCAATGCTTGACAAAAAGAAGTGTTGTATTATGAACAATCAACAAATATCCAGTTACGCAGCTTTCAGATATGCATATATTTTAATTAGATTAATTTCAAAATAAATGAAAGAAAAGGCATTATAAAAATCCTCTTGAAAGTGATGCATGTGGTTAAGATATTTTGATAATGTTATCTCCTGTACATGGTTAAGGCCAACTAGTCATCTGTACAAACAGGAAACACCTCCTGATATGTCCTGTTCACCTTTTTCAACATAATAACCACAGTGGAAAAAAAAAAAAAGGAAATTGCTTTGCATTTCACCTTTTAAAGTTACATTTGTAAAATACCCACTCTGTATAGAAGCCTTTACTTAATAAAGACATAAATATTGTCTTACCTTTTTCATATAAAGCTACGTAAAAAAATTTACTGAAAACAAGAAACATTGACTTGCTTTTCTGGCATAAATTTTTCAACAATGTATTGACTCCAAATTCCACTTACTGATGATATAAACAAACAAACAAAAAAAAGCATAGCCTTGGATGACATGATATCTGCTGCCCTAAA